CCTCACTCATCAGCTGGGCAATCTCTGCCAGTTCAAGATCCTCGGCGGTTCTGGCCTCGCTGGGAGCAGCAGCCCGACCGGCGGATGATGCCTGCTGTGAGCTGCGGCTTTCCTCGTCCTGCTGTTTGGCACTCAACACGCGGTTGAGTCTCAGGATTTCGTTTTGGAAGTTAGTCTGGGCGGCAGCCATCGATGCAACCGTGTCAGACAGACCACGAACAAGAGTTGTGAGCTGATCGATCTTCGCGGCATCGTTGTGGCGCTGAATTTCATACTGCTTCATCTGAACCTGCAACTGCTTCTGCATGTCCGAACCGATCTGTTCCGCGGCCTGCAGAGCAAGGCTCTTGAAGGCGGGGGTGATGGAGTTGTGCAAGGCCCTCGACATGTCATTCTCAAGGTGGGAAGCAATTTTCTGACCAACGGCGTCCGAAATGACTTTCATCACTTCAGGTTGCTTGACTGAACGAGCAACTGCATCAGGCAGAGCCTGACGCACCTCACGAGGCACAACACTGCCCAGGTGCTGAGAAATGACCTGATCTAGCTGTTTTCCAACAGCGGCCGATGTAAGCTCAGTCAGGGCAGGGACAACCTCAGATTGAATGCTGCTAGACACGATACGAGCCAGATTCTTCTCCACATTGTCAGACAGGGTGCTGGAGACCAACCGCAAGACTTGATCCTGTTTGGCTGCAGATGCAGCGTCCCAGTTGCGTCGCTCTTCGTCGAAGCGGGAGTACAGGCCTTCAAGCTCGCGACCGAGACTCTTATTAAATTCAGTCGTGACGCCAGTCTGGAGTGCCTCCAAGTGCTTGGCCCAGATCTCGCCAGCTTTACTGGCACCAGCTTCAGAGGAGAGGGGCGCCGCAGCAGTGACGGCAGGGAGAGGGGCGTCCATGGTTGATGGCTGTGTTGTGGAAGGTGCCAGTTGGGTGGGCTGCTCAATTGGTTGAGGCACAATGCCGGGCTCACCGGACAGCCCCCCAACGGCAGTGAATGTTGCTTCCTTGGCTTTCGCTGGGCTCTCACCGGTAACGGCGGTAGCAGCAGCAGCCTTCTTTTTCTTCTTTTTCTCAGGCTTCTCGACGCCATTGGCCGCTGCAGCTGGCTCGGCATGCTCATCGACAGCCTTCTTCTTCAGAACCGGCTTGACAGGGGACACAGTGCTTGAAGGAGCAGGTGCACCAGCAGCTTCAGCGGTCGCCTCAGGGGTCTTCTTGGCCACTTCCCTCGGCGTAGCTCTGGTGGAGGCAGAAGCCGAGTCACCATTGATTGAAGGTTCATCGGCGACGTAGCTCGGGAAGGCCTGAAGCTCAGAAATTTCGATGTAGCCCTCCTCCAGCGCATTCACAGGACGGATAATCTTATTGTCGACGCCCCATCCCAGGTCTTCTTTCTTGATGGTCAAGCAAGTCACGCCACGCGAGTGCATCACGTAAAGCTCGAAGAGCGCACTGTCTTCTTTGCTATCTCCAGGAGCCTTAATGGCAGGGAGAAGATCCAAGCTGCGCAACTGGCCCTTGGAGGCAAACGAAATCTCCCGAATGCCACTCATGCATGCTGTAGATTCTGGCTTGGGCAAGCTCGAGTCCTTCTCACCCGAGCGCTTGATGAAAGATGCCTGCGACATGGGCTGTAGATTATATCTAGGAGCGGACAGGTGAACAAAGTAGATAGAATTGCGCGTAGGATGTCCGACCACAATGATACCAGAGGCTGCGTGGTAGGCGACACTACAGATGGCATCCGATTCGTTCTCGTGGGGGAACTTGAGCTCCTGCACGGCCTTGCCAAGCCCAATATCCCAGAGCTGCAAGGTGTGGTTTTGCTTAAGTCCAACCAGAACGTAACGAAGCGCCATCGATTTGACATAAGGACGCAGCTTATCGATGAACAGGACAGAGGTGGGCCAAGACTTCTCGGTGGGAGATCCGGTAACAAAGGTGTTCAACGGGACGCGCACCTCAGCTGGACTGGGCACGTTCGTGAAGAAATCGGGATTGTTGACCACTTCGCGAATATCCCAGAAGCGTAGTCTGCCGGTCTTGTCTAGAGAAGCAATGACAGTATCGTCGTCACTGAACACAAAGTCCTTGCCAGCTTTGCCGGTCGAGATCTTGAGGGCCCGTTCCTTGAAAAACTTCTCCGTGTTGACGGTGCGTTGAGATCCCGAGACACCGTAGTTTGCGTTGGCAGCCGCCTGAGGACAGACGACGTAGATATTCTTGCCACGCCCGATGGCGAAGAAGCCGGGATGACGAGAGCTTCTCTTGGCCCGCGTTTTCAGCTGGCCACCAGAAGTGTTCTCATCAGAAGCCGGGAACGGCGGGAATATCAGGCTCTCGCTCTCCAAGGCATCCAGCTCGAACAGATCCTTTTCTCCGCGCGAGATCAACGCCCAGTAGACCGTGCCGCTGACACCAATGCCCAAGATCGCTTGCTCCTCGGATACGCCGCTCGTTGTGGCTGAGGTGCAGAGAGTGACATTGAACACACGGTCGCGGGTTGCACGGAAGACTTGCTTGTCACTTCCATCCTCCTGACGAATGATCCTCATACCTCCATTCTTCGCTAGAGCGTAAACGATGTATTCCGATGTAGCCGAAGTCAAGGAGCGGTCCAGTTGATCAAATTCCTTCTTCAACCGGGCGATGTCCATGATGCCATCATCCCGAATGGTCGGAAGTTCCTGGGCGTTGCCCTTAAGGGATATGGAAATGAACGGCTTCAGAGGAAAGTTGTACACGGGAACAACGCGCTCTTCTTCCTTCGCAGCACTGTCCTCGGCGCTCTCCCAACTGTCTGCAAGGGCCTCGCCACTTTCGCCATTAGTGGTTTCGTTAATAGCTGCAGTACTCTCTGCCGCGGCGTCTTGGGCGGCCGCTGCTTCAATCTTTGCAGGCTGTTCGGCCTCAGCAGCTGTATCGCGAAGATGACTAGCGACGGAGGAAATGACTGCTTGAGTGCTTTCTTCCTTGTCCGTCCGTACAGGCAACGACTCCTCTTCCTTGGCCGTCTTGTCACGCACGTCAGCAACGTCGCGGCCAACTATCTGATCCACCAGTTTGCCAACTACTTGGTTAACAGCCTCGCGCTGCTCTGCGTCAAGGATTGGCGATGATGGGCGTTGCACGGCAGACGACGCTGCTGGCTGAGACACGGGAGCAACATCCGCAGTTGCAGTTACGTTGATCTTCTGGCGCTGGGTGAGCTCGACAGCGGGGCTAGCACTCCGAGACTTGATCTGAGGAGAGGCCTTGCGTGGCGATGCAGCTGCCAGTTGCTCAAAGGGGTTAGTGTATGTGAAGATGCCTTCCTTGGGCGTCAGTGTCGACTTGGGCTGTTGAGAAGATATTATGTCCGGCTTCCCAGACACCATTTCCTCAGGACGCGCTCCGTGCACTTCAACTGGCGCCTGTGCGATCGGCTCAGCGACAGGGGACTTGACCGGAGACACAGACGCTGCTGGTTGGGATACCGCCTTTCCGTGCCCGAGGGACACATCCTGGCTCGGCGATGGTCGGTTGAGCAGACGAAGCAGCATCTCCTGCGTGTTTTCAGCAGTAGGGGCCGCCGACAGGGAACTCTCGCCGACCCCGGAATGACCAGGCTGAGCGAACTGCGAAGTAGTAGGCATCATGGGTGGGGTTGCACCCGAAGGTGGAGCTTGAGCCTGTCGACCGAACAGGGAAGCAACCAGATCAGACGCTGAGATGTTCCTCGTGTGAGACCTAGACACACCCTCGAAGCCAGTTTCCTGGGCAAGAGGAGACCTTGGCTGCTCCATTCCAACCGCAGTAGGCTGTTGTTGAGACGAAGCAGCTGCAGCACCCTGATTAAACTTGAGCAGGTTCAGCAGGTTGACAGCACGGTCGGGGTTCTGAGCTTGAGGTTGCTGCGGGTACATTTCGCCACGAGGAGTGGCAGTATTAGGACTGAGGATATCCGAGCCATGGTGAGGCGGTGTATTGACCGGGGATGGGCTAGGGATGGCAGATGAGACCGAAGGGTGACGGTAGCCATGCTGCAACAACTGAGGGTGAGACAAGTTCTGCCCATCGTAGGGTTGCGGCTGGGTCTGCTGTTGCTGTTGCTGGGGACGGTAGCCCTGCTGGTAGTGCATAGGGTACTGAGCGTCCTGAGCAGGCATTCCCGAAGGAGATGGACGTGGTCTGATGCTCGCCAGGAGAGCCTGGAGATCGCTGGGGGTGGACATTTCTGTCAGCTCACCACAATGAAAGGCGACCTCCCAAGTGATATCCAAGCTCTAAGCTTCTCTCGACAGCTCTCTTTCGAGAGCAGAAAGGGAGAAGTGAGGAAGCAGTAAGGTCAGATAGCTCTGGTAATTGAAAGAAAGAAGAGAAAGAAAGGGGCTAAATGAACGGACTATGGTACAGAGAAGAAGATGGGTAAGGAAGGGGGAGAAGAACGAGAAATGATGATAATTCAGTAGAGCAAAAAGAACAAGATGGAGGCCGAAGTGGCACTAGGTCGGGTTAGGTAAGTGGCTCATGATGATTGTGGCTGATGCAGTTGAGGCTGATGAATACATCTGGATACCTGAGGAAGGTGGCTATGAATAAGGTAATTATGGCGGGGATTTCAGTTACGGTACGGTAATATCTCTTATTGGAGGGAATCAGCAATGACGCTGAAAATCCTCAGTCATTGAAAGAATACTTAAGAAGTACCTTAGATTTAGCCACGATGTACGAGGGATTTGCTCGTATCTCAGCTGTCTGATGGGCGATACTTTTCCACTATCTGCATCTAATCTCCATCTCTCCACCTTCTGTGCACTCATCTCTTCTTTTATTGACTGTCAGAGGTATCCCTCTTCCTCTACGTCAGTCTTCCTCTTAAGTTGAACACACTCTTCAACACTATAACACTATACTTGTGTCACTGTCACAAGAAGTGTGCTACAATCCTCCCAGCCTATAGACTCCCACCATGTTCTGTCTCAGGAGGTAAGGCGCCGCAACATCTGGTATATCATGCCAAACTTCGAAGCCCACTCACTCACGCGATCAACATATAGCTGGTTACCGCTCCTCTTCATCCCAACCAACGCCTCCCCCCTCTTCATCATCTCCTTCGTCACCCTCACATACATCCTCCACCGACCATGCATCTACTGCTCCGCGCTGCTCCTCATCCTCTTCATCTCCTCCTGCCACTGGGCTGACCGCTGCTTCTTCGACTTCCGCGGCGACTGGTTCTCGCCGCGCTATGCAACGTCAAACCCCTACGATGCCGTCTCGGCCAATACCTCTCTGGCCAGTTACGTGGTAGAGACCGTCAATACGACCACCAAGGCGCTGGCGGGCGCGGCGGTTGAGGAGGCGCAGCGGCGACTTGCGCTCAACGGATCAAGTGAACTGGGACAACAGGAGTGGACGGGTGTTGGACTCGAATGGTTGCGGAGTTTGCTGGGACGACGGGAGTGGACTCTTCCCTGTGTAGATGTCAAGGTTCGGCTTTGAAGGTTTTTATTTTCGGTCTTTCTTTTCCCACCAGATCCAAAGTTCGATATAACCATATGAGGCTGTTTTGCATGCACGGGAGGGTTCATAGAGCATGGATTGGGCTTGCATTATTTTGACCTGACCCAAGTTGTCGACTGCTATCCGCATGCAAGTTGTCGTCGCTTCTTGGTTTGATTTCGTTCTTATGATCGATGTACAGAATCTACCGTACTTACTTGATAATATTACAGCTCATGCCTCGATCGATCAAGTACAGGTACTGGCGGAGAAGTAATATACTTGCATGGGAGATTCCTTGACTCTGACGGAAGACAGAGGTTAATATTTTAATGTGCAGAGATTGGTTATAAACATATGCTAGTGGCTAGCTAGGTACATCAAATAGGTATCTGACAGTAAAGGAGAGGATGAATATGTAAACATGATCACATGCCCGTTTCACATCAAGCTGACCACATCATTAAAGGGGTAGTACAATTATAGTCACTGGTAGCATCAGAGAAATCGTGAAACATAAAAGTTGAGTACAGAAGTGGTATCAAAAAGGCAGTCCAGGCGTAAAAACGAGGAAAAGACAGAGGTCAGACAAACGTGTGCGAGGATAAGGATCCTTTTTCGTCTGCAACGGTAAGAGCATTGCCAGGGCTGAGCAGGGTCGGCAGTCGATTAGATCAAATTAAGCGGGTGGTACAATAACAGTTGCAGCTTAGTTGTAGCCGCTGCCTACAGCCATCGGCATCGGCCAGTCATCTTCCGTTATACTGCTCCAGAATATCCAGACCGTAACGACCGACAAGAGGGTGAACAATGTCTCGAATAAGGCGCCGTTGATTTTCCCGTGCGACGCCTGGCAGAGATGGGTGCTGATCACGTAGTTGAATATTTGGCCAATGGCGAACAACAGACCCGCGGCGGACAGATACACTGCATGTCCCGTCAGTTACTTAGCTCATAAGGGCCTTGGGGTTGAACATACACATTGGTCGGAACTCGCCCAGGACCCGGATCACCAAGACAGCTTCCAGAACGAAGAATGCCACGAGGAGGACGAGGGGGAAGAGCTGGTACAGTACGTAGAGGGCGATATTTCGATAGTGATTAGATGGGTTTGTCGCGAACTCTCCGGTCCAGTCGAAAGCAGTATCTAGGGCGATATAACCGGTACCGATGAAGAACACCAGGGCAGAAGCAACACAGAGACCGAGCGAAACAGGAGTACCGTCGTCAAGGAACTGAAACCCGACAAGAGCGTTCAAGAAGAGGATCCAGCATGTCGCGGTGATCGCAGCGATATGAACTGCCGTAAACCCCTACGCAAGTCCCTCAGTTGTGTCCAATAGAAGCAAGGCGTCAATTGCAACAGCCAAAACATACCTTCAGCACCGCGCTGTCAAGAGGGAAGCCGCCCACGGTGAAGATCTCGCAGATCTCGACGATAATGAAGCCAAGAAGGAACAATTGCATTTCCCTAGGCAGTATTACTCGTCAGCCATGTCCATGCATTTCACAGCCCCTGTTTAGCCGCGTACCTTCGCCCAACCGCGGCCTGTTTCCGTTCCGATCGCCATAATAGAAAGAGCGATACTAAGATGGATATGAATGCCAGTAATATCGATCCTGTGTTGATATCAGTCTCGCGATTCGCGACTCGTCTCCGTGGCGGTCTATCCGTCGTTCCATACCTAAGTTGCTGAGATATCGATGATTGCCCAGGTCGATACCGGTGAGGGCACAGCCGTCGTAGGCTTCATTAGGGGGTTGGTTGTGGGCGACAAAGAGCTATCGACGAACGATCGCAGTCAGCAAGGCGCAGTCCCTTAGTGACAGGATTCTTACATGGGAAACCGCCTGAGAATGAAATTGGCTGACTCACATTGCAAACTGGCAAGGTCGAATCTCTGCAAAAGTCCTGTTCGCGAAGATCCCCATTGGTTAACTTCCCTTTCGCGCAACGAGTAGACGTATCGAATTCCGTCGGCAGACTCACGTTGAAATTCCCAAATTGTGTAGAACCCATGATTCACCGACCGTTGAAGCGATTGACTGTGCAGAAAGACTTGGATGATCGTAGACAAGATTCGCGCGGCTCGGTGGTGGCCTTGCTGGTAGTTAAATTGGCTTCCCTTTTCCTGGGACCCACGCTAAGGGACCAGGCCGTTGACAATGGCTCCCGTCGCAAAGTTGAAACAAGCCAGTAACCGTGGGATTATTATGATGCTGATCGTTGTGTCAATTAAGTCTCTGCAAGTCCAAGACGAAGAGCACAAGTTTTGTTATTATTTGCAGCCAAAAGTGAGGAGATTTTATCGATGAAAACCGTGGTGAGCAGATCGTGAGTCAATTGCAGCTCAAAAGCGTCGGTAACTGAGGCTGCAAGATTGTTGTCATCCACGAGGGCAATGCAACAGGAAGTGACTCGATGGTAGATTATGCAAGATTATACTCCGTATGCGAGTAGAGAAGAAAGGAAGTGGAACTGAAGATGGAGAAATGGCTGTACAGGTCGACTTGACACGAGGTGGCTTAGAGCGAAAACACTATCAAGACAATTGATGTTGATGAGCGGGAACGGTAGCCTACAGAGCGCGGAGTAGAGAAGATAAATCGGACGCTATACGGAGTAGACTACATATCCAGTGCCCAAAAAAAATGAAACTGTCTTTGAATCAATACTAGTGACATCTAAACGGGCCATAATTGGTTTTCTCTCTGAAGATTTTTGACTCAAGGACCAAGCACTCCAGACGAAGCAATAATTGAGCAGGCTGGGGTCTTGGGCTAATCGAGCGCCAACTACGTATGAGGACAACTTTGATACTCCATATCATGATTCCTTCCATCATTCTGGAGCTTGGTCTGATTCTTCGAGGTTGGATACGTTTCTCCTGCCAGAATCTAGTGATCAAGGCACCATCATAATTATAGACCACTAGGCAGAGTATTGTCCTTTGACCATGGTTGGTTGAGCTGCGCTTGGATTGTACCAAGGAAGTCTTCCATCTTCGTCCATGGATTGTCTTGATTTCCCCGGTTTTCTATTCTTGGTGCCTGCAACTAGGTACTGGTCCCTGATTCGATACATCAACAGTAAGGTAATTTACTTGTATGCACGCAACGGACACTCAGTTCAAGTGCACAAGAGTCCAAACTAGCATTCAGACTTCCTTAGGGATAAAAGTAGTCAGAGCTGGCCTAGCAGTACGATGCAGAGTATAAAGTCCATGAATTCTACAGCTTAGTACTGTATCTGTACCTGTCTCTCGATCAACATGCCCTTCCCAACCCCCTGTACTGCGTAGAACCTACTCGTCTACAGTAGTTTCAGTACACATACCCTACCAATACAAGAAAAGCACTACAATTCCCCCAAAGTAACATATCTTAGCGATCCCTGAGATGTGTCAAAATACGGTATTGTAACTGGCTGACCACACCGACTGTCTTACTAGTTACACCTCATCAGCCACCCGATTTTCCCAAGGTATCTTCTCCCTCTTTCCACGTCGAAAGCCGTAACTATGGGATGCGGATTATAGATAGCGGTTTGCTCCTTGCTTTTTGAAGCCATACATTACTGTTGATCATCATTCTATTCAGCCCGATGCCTAATGCACCGGTCAACATCTCATACCTCACTTGGGATATTGCTATCGATTATATATTCCAAGTCGATGAACGCCGGATGATTCAAGCTGCGCTTCTTCGTAGACTACCTTAGGTTCCAGGTATGTATTAATACCAGATTATGGCTGAACTCAGCTGGGTTCAATTCTGATGGATGGGCTGAAGCTTTCCATTCCCAATCGCCAGTGTTATACTATATTACAGTTGGTGAATGTTTTCCCACTTATCTTATTCAACGATTGATATACGCGTCAACTCTGAAAGTCTACTCCTTACCCCAAGTATGATAGCAAGCGGGCCATTTGTTTCTAAATATCTGGTCTTCAACTCGGCACAGATTATTATTATTGCGTGGAGCCTGAAACACCGAATGAACGGCCCAAGAGGCGTCATTCATTGTGGCTGACAGCTGTGAACAGCGGCAGGCCCAGAACATCTTCATCTAAGACGCGCTTCTATTGGCGCACCGAGAAAAATCTAGCACACATCCTCGATCTCCAATTTCTTACCATCGTGTTCGCCAAGGTCCAGTTTCAATGTCCGTCCGAACAACTCGAGCAGCATCTCAAAGCATACCTTAGTAATGGCGGGGTCATACCGTCCCTTGCTGAGCTCGTCTCGAATGAATGCATCTGTCGCGGTTCTCCGTTAGTACTGCCTTCGAGATGATCATTAACAGCAAGTGCATCACAATCTAACGTACGTTGAGCCCATGCGACCTCGTAGAAGCTGAACAGGACGCCCTTCTCATGCAGGGTCTTGCGGATCAGGTCTCTACCCTCCGGCGGAACATGGTTGTCATTCTTCCCAAAAATCTAAAGCATTGTCACTCAGCTGCCGATTACCATCTAGATCCCGGAGCGTCAACTAGACGAGATCAACTCACCATAAGAAGCTCTCCCTTGATATCGCCCGCTCTAGCCAAACTGTCATCATTCTTGCCCTCGCCGAGGGTCTTGCTGTGGATGTCCGTCGCAAAGTAGCACACAGCCGCCTTGACGCGGCTGTCCAACGCACAGCGGTACGCAAGATGACCACCCAAGCACATACCCGTTGCGCCTACCCGGCCATTGCAAGTGGGCAGGGAGAGCAAGTAATCAACGCACAGCGAGGCGTCCTCGTCATAGGCGGCTATTTTCTACATCTCGGTTAGCGGCACTCAGACATGATCGGTTGTGACGGTGACTCGGCTTGTGGGTACATACCTTGCTGACTTTCCACTGGTTCCCCTTGTCGGTATCTTCAGCATTGTATTGCAGTGGCTCAGGACCGGTGAATTCGTGGTAGCTGGACGGCGCAGCACAGATGTACCCCTGGCCCGCAATCTGTCTGGCGAACCGCGAGACAGGTCCCGTCACTAGCTACAGTCAGTTTCGGCGTCGTCAGTCGCGCGAAGCCATGTACGCACCTTGGTAGATCTCGCTGAACACTACTACACCAGGGAATCGAGCTTTGGGATATCCAGGAATAGTGGGATGGAACACGTAGATACCTGGTTAATTTGTGATAAGCAGATAAGTCTTGATTGGGGTCTTGGAGTCATTTGGTTACATACGCATAGTACCATTTCCATCCGCCTTGGTGGGCACATCGTGGAAAGATTCCTGGATCAACATGACGGGTGGTAGAGTATTAGGTTGTACGTAATGTGCTCAGCTGACTCTGTATGATCTTAATCTAAACTCAATCGAACAGTTGGCACAGTCAATTGAGCAATTCCACCTGTCAGTTACTGACTTTCATGCGACACATGGTGGGGGTTCAAGCCTCTATCGATAAGCTGCGATGGAGGGATGAGGACGGGTCATGTGATTAATAAGATATATTGTTGGCTTCAAGTACCTGGATTCGAATGTTCACGATGATACACTGGAGATATGAAGTATTCACTGCCTTTTTTGTTCCAGGGAATTTATACATTATCATTCAAGCGATAGAGTCTCGCTAGGGTCATAAACCTCTTATCAAGGGACAGGGGTAAGAGTAATCGAAACAGAAGGAGAAAAGTAACAAAAAGGAAACCAAGTGATGACCGGTAGTAGCCAATCTAATGATATACATGAATCGAAGTGAACCGCCGGTGGACATCAAGAATATAAAGTCTCCTGCTGTAAAGTAAGGAGCAGATGTAGGTGAGTCGGTAATATTGCTCTTCCAGACCCGATAAGCCGCTGCATATTATTATGGCATATACCAAGTCCTGTACGTGAGGAGAGGGTTTTCGGGTAAGGTGTGCCCACCGTAAGGCGTGAGCGAAAGCGGTCGAACCGCTCAGTCTTCCCTTAGAATACATACTAGAGACCCGAATCAGTCAGTATGTTCGCCGCGTTTCGAGATGAGAAATAGCTTACAGGGATGAACAGATATGGAACCTGTCGTTCGTACTCCACCCAGGCTTCGCCGTACTTATTCCGGCAGCGCTGGATGTCACGCAGCGCACGGTGGGTGATCATGCACGCGAAGAAGATGGGATAGAACCAGGGGAATGGGCTGCTGAAGCCGGTAATCAAGCCCCAGTTCAAGGCGAAATAAAGATCGCATGTGTAGTGGATCTTACGAGCTTTGCCATCTGTGCCGATAGTCAGCATGTTTGTCTGGGTGCTCCTTTGACGAGACTGATCACTTACACCATCCATCAACGAGGATCTTGGAACCATCGGCGGCAGTGATTGTCTTGGGGTTCTTGAGGGTCTGCCATGGGAGCTGAGGGAAAGTCTTCCGAGAGACCATGGTACCACGCTCTTGCTGACGGAAACGGTTCTTCTGGCTGTTGGTTGTATCCCAGACCCAGTAAACAAACAGATATGCTGCATACAGGAACACCAGGAAGACACGGTTCCAACGGTAAGTAGCGGGGTCATGGCTGGCAAGGTAGATCGTGCAGTGGCAGTAACTCAAGGGCACGCCGGCCAAGTTCCAGAAGATGAGCATGAAACCCCACTTTTCATAATACATGTCCCTAAGACGAATTAGTCTCTGGCTGTGATGGCTATGGTTAACCAAGAGCATGACATGGGTGAAAGCTTACCAAGTCGACACGATACACTCTTCACCTTTGCAGCAAGCATTGGCGTACAAGAAATGCGCCATGAGGAGGAACCCAACTTCCCCAGAAAGATAGCCATAGACCTCGTACTGCCGAGCTGCAGCACCGAGAGAGATGAAGAAGAGGATGAACCAAGGAAGGCGAACTTCGAAGAACATCTTAAAATCAAGAATACCGAACATTCTAGGATTGAGCTCCGCGCCCATGAAGAAATCATAGATATGGTACCCGGTCATGCGATGTTGCGCGCCACGAGCCAACGCGGAGAAGTATGCGACGAAGGACACCAGGAAGCCAGAGATGATGGCGACGCTCAGAAGAGGTCCGAACTCATCGATGACGGTGTA